TGGTGTCATATCTAAGCAAACATTACGTAATCCAAGGTCATAAAAATTTGTGTTTGTTTTCTTCTTAGAGTTTTATGGTTTTATCTCTTGCATTTAGGTCTTTAATCCATTTTGAGTTAATTTTTAAAATTTTAGTATGGTGTGAGGTAGGGGTCCAACTTCATGCTTTTGCGTGTGGATATCTAGTTGTCCCCATACCATTTGTTGAGAGACTGGATGACTTTTAAGGCTCCTTCTGACTCTGAAGATTCTACGATGCTTTGTAGTTTATTGGTTTCTTTTATTGTTTAATCAAGTGGACAGTCAGGATTTCATGTGATGGCCATCCTTTTCCCAAGAATACATTGTGTCTAAAAACAGGGATTGCTATTAGTCTTTTATCAGTTTCTTCTAGACTTCTCAGTTGCTTTCAATTCTGTCCTCCTTTGCCTTTTATGATATTGGTTTGCTTCTGGTCTTGTTTGACCAGCTCAGTTTTCTTTTCTTCCTCTTTTTGCAGATAAGTTCACATACCCCTCCAGCCTTTTTGGAATGGGAACCATTCATCATTTAATTTTAATTAGCTTTGTCATGTAGGTGGCTTAGAATTTCTTCTCAAGCCTCACTACAGTCTAATAAAAATTTCCTCTGATTGTGCCACCAACACCTGGAATTGAACGTGTGAAAAATATACTCAGTCTTCCCTAAGCATAAGCCCTTCCACTTTTCCTTATTGGCTTCTCCTAGTATCTTAAACTTACCCTGGAGTTTTCTGACCCCCTCCCCCACCAGCTCTCTATTCTGTTCAGTATTACATGCTGCTGATCATTACATGGTAAGAGCCCTTGGACCTATCCTTTCCTTTTTGCAGCTATACCCTGCACCTCAGGCCCTTGCATCTCAGAGCTAAATTACTGCCTTTTTGCTTATTTCCTAGACCCTAGTTTCTTTCTCTCTGCGTTAGACCCTATACTCAACTGCTAGATCAATCCCCCTCAAACACTCTTCTCATTAAGTCGTTTCCCTGATCCTAGACCCACAGTATCAAATTTATACACCACAGGTTAGCACTTAAACTCCTCCCACCTCCACTTCCCTCTCCTGTCTCTTGTTACTTCCCTAAATGGAGCCAAACTAATTTGGTAGTTAGCCTTATTTATTCTTTATTCTTATTTCTTTTCTCACGTCTTTCTCAGTACACACATTCTTCTTTCCTCCTGGTGTGCCTTTGCTCCTCTGCTATTCTGAATCTCATTCCCTTCAGTGATTGGTCTCATTTGTCTCCTCTCCTCTTTTTTTCCTTTTTGCATTCTTTCAGGACGTACTTAGACATTTAGTTTGTCTAGTAATAAGGTCCATGATAACCTGTCCCTTTTTTGTTGTTGTTTGTTGTTTTGGATGTACTACTTTTTGAAAACATTGTTTCATGTGAGAACTATTGTTTCTATTTCATTTATGGCTCTTCTCCTTTCCTACCTACAGCACAGAGTCCTGAACATAATAACTGTCCAATAAATCTTCCTGGCTGACAGAGCTATAAAAGTTTTGGGGGGGATGTGTAGTGTTGAGCATCATCATCATTTTTCAATTTTAGAAATGCAAAATAATGCCTTTTGTGCCATTACATGATTTTAATTTTTTATATTTTGTTTTATGCCAAGTTTTGAAGACAGTGTTCTCAGTACAGAAAATGAAGTTCAACAGCATATTATTACAAATATTAAATCTAGTGTATTGAACAGTAGCCACCTGATATATCAGATTCTCTCAAGAGAAAGGTTAGCTTCTTGGATGTTGGCTAGGCATTTTTTGAAGATACATTATAGCCTTAAAGCCAGTGTTCACCATTTAACGTATTAAGATCCTTGGCAATTTAATAGCAACATAGTCACCAGCACCCAGAATAAGGAGTGGTGACCTGGTTTCCTTCTTCTGTCTGAAGCTGAGCTTCTGTTGCTGACCTGCTCTTAAAAAAGAAGCATTTCGGGCCGGCCCCGTGGCTTAGTGGTTAAGTGCGTGTGCTCCGCTACTGGCGGCCCGGGTTCGGATCCTGGGCGTGCACCGACGCACCGCTTCTCCGGCCGTGCTGAGACCGCGTCCCACATACAGCAACTAGAAGGATGTGCAGCTATGACATACAACTATCTACTGGGGCTTTGGGGGGAAAAAAAAAAAAAGGAGGAGGATTGGCAATAGATGTTAGCTCAGAGCCAGTCTTCCTCAGCAAAAAGAGGAGGATTAGCATGGATGTTAGCTCAGGGCTGATCTTCCTCGCAAAAAAAAAAAAAAAAGAAGCATTTCTTCCCATAATTTCCATGTCATCCAAAGTCAATATCAGGAGGGAAAGGAAGATTTTTTGAGTGGAGCTTGGCTGACAGAGAATACAAGGCAGAAGGCAGCTCCCAGGCCAGTCGCTAGCTGTCTCTCCTCCCTGCCTGCCCACCTGCCACCTTTCTTACCTCAGGAGCAGAGCTGACTTCAAGATAGTCCTCAGTTCATAGCACCTGATTAATGTCATCAGTGCAAGTTTCCTTTCTTGTTTTGTTCTTTTCTTTTTAACCCTTTATCTTCAATCCACATGCCCATTCCTGTCCCCATTCATATGCACTCACTTCAGTGTTTGTGTTTTATGTCCTTATACCTACATATTTGCTTGAAGGATACGTAGTATAGTGATGATGTGTCTTCAGCTTACAGAATGGTATTTGCTTAGTTTTTTTTGCTCAATGCTATGCTTTTTAAGATGTATTCATGTTGCTGTAGGTACATTTAAAATTTGATTTCTAAAAGCTACATAGAATTCCATATTTGTATCCACTCCATTTTTATTTTTCAGTCTTCCAGTTATGGAAATCAAAGTTACTTCAAGCTCCTTGGTACAACATCATCACAGTGAACATTCTCACACAGGTCTATAAAGTCTATAATTCAAATTTGGATATAGACAGCCTTATTTGAGAGTTTCTCTGGAATTTATCCACCAGAGTGGGATCACTGGATCATAGGGCGTAGACATATTTAATGCCCCTAAGTACAGCCAAATCGCTTAGCAGAATGGCTTATCAGTATACTCTTACCCACAGTGCGTGAGAGTTCTTGCCTCCCCACATCTCTGCCAACCATTGTGATAATCCACCATTCTAATTTTTGCCCTTTGGGCAGGTTTAAGTGCTATCTCATTGTTTTAGTTTGTGTTTTACTCATTGGTTTTACTTTGAATTTAATCATCTCTTTATATACATGTTAACCACTTAAGCTTCTCTTTCTGTGAGTTTCCTACTCATATCTTTGGACCATTTTTTTTTTGTGAGGACATCAGCCCTGTGCTAACATCCGCCAACCCTCCTCTTTTTTTTTTGCTGAGGAAGACTGGCCCTGGGCTAACATCTGTGCCCATCTTCCTCCACTTTATATGGGACGCTGCCACAGCATGGCTTGCCAAGCGGTGCATCGGTGCGCACCCAGGATCCGAACCAGCAAACCCCGGGCTGCCGCAGCGGAGTGCGCGCACTTAACCGCTTGTGCCACCGGGCCGGCCCCACTTTTGACCATTTTTTTATTGGGTTTCCTGTGATGGTCATATTGAATTGTAGGAATTCCTTGTCTATTCTAGAGATTTAATTCCTTGTCAATTTTAGATGTTGCAAAAGCTTTTCCTTGTCTATCATCTATCTTATCTCTGTTCATGGTATTCTTTATTGAACAGAAGTCCGTAATTTTGTTGAAGTCAAATCCAGTAGTTTTTCACTGATTAGTTTCTATTTTTAGAGTCTGATTTGTGAAATCTTTCTGCTCTCTAGTGTTTTCTGCTCTCTATTGTTGTCTCCCAGTGGTTTTTCCACACAAGCCTGTTTACATGGCCTTTTGAAGGAATGTCTTTCTTTTCTTTCCCGCCTATCGCTCTCAGGGAGGCTTGGCAGTTGGTGTTAATGTTTGGCTGCTCCTGATGGAGGGAAAAAATGCAAGAAAATTGATGGGCCCTCCTTTCTCTAAGCCCTGTGCTTCCACTCACAGGGGTGAGCCCCTGTGACCCTGTTTGTACTGCATGAATCCTGTCTGCTCAGCTACAGCTGATTGGAAAGGAATGCATACCTACCCAAGCTGAGTATTCAAAATCGTCTTCCAAGCAATTTGGAATTATGACTAGTCTCTGCTGGCCTCTTGAAGGACACGCAAATTGAGGGGTTTGGGGATGAACATCTTCCTCCATGTTCACAAAGAAGCTTAAGAAATGGTCTGCAGAGAAAGGAGAATGAAGAAGGTATGCACAGAGAAACAGAAAAAGGCCTTATAGCCCCATAGAGAGGGAGAAAGATTCAGACAGAATGTGAGAGTAGCTGTCCTGGATCCTGATGGCTTTCCAGTTTCTGATTCTATTCTCTTCTGAGACCAGATTGCATTTCCTTATCTGTATTAGTTAGAGGTGGCTGACTGCTGTGACAGATACACTCCAAAGTGTATAATGGCCTTAACACAGTAGAAGTTTATTTCGCACTCACATAAACAGGTCCAGATGGTTCTAAGTTGGTGGAGTGGCACCAGTGGAGGGCTCTGTGCCACACAGTTATTCAGGAACCCAGGTTGATGGAAGCTCTGCCATTTTCACCACATGGCTTCCAAGGTCTCCCTAGGTGTCAGCATCCAGCCTGCAAAAGGGAAATGAACATGGAGTTTAGTACATGGGAAGTTCTGTAGGCCAGGCCTTGAACTAGCACATATCACTCGCAGTCCTTTGGCTGGAATTCAGTCACGTGGCTACATTTAACTGTATGGGAGGCTGAAAAATGTCATCTAGCTGTGGACCCAAAAGGAAAAGAAAGTGGGTTAGGTGAACAGTTAGAGACTACCACATCATATTATCTTTGTGATACCTCCATATCCTTATAATTATAAGTTCCCATTTTTTCTTAAACTTGTTTGGGTTGGCTTCTGTTATTTGTACCTCAATGCCTGAGATGTTTTTATAATAACCATATTTAGAATAGTAGAAGAAATAAAGACTGATTAATTTATTTTCTCAGGAAAGTTGGGTCGATTTCCACCAATGATGCATCATCACCAGGCGCCCTCAGACGGCCAGACCCCTGGGGCTCATTTCCAGAGGTCTCACCTTGCAGAGGCGTTTGCGAAGGCCAAAGGATCAGGTGGAAGCCCTGGAGGAGGAGGTAGTGGAAGAAGCCTGATGGGGCAGATTATTCCCATCTATGGTTTTGGGATTTTTTTGTATATACTGTACATTCTATTTAAGGTGAGTGGAATCATCTTGATCATATTACATCAATGAAAATCTAATATCATCATAATAAAAATCATTGTTGGCATTAAAACCCTTTACAGTTCATAACCCTTTTTCAAATCCATCATCTCTTTAAACCTTGCCTCCTCTTTTTGAGGTACTTAGGATAGCAGTTATCTCAGTTTTACAGATGAGAAAATCTTCACTCAGAGCTTAAATGATTTGCCCCAGAATTCACAACTGAAACTGCAGAACCAGTACTTGAACTGGGATCTTCTAGTTCCTGATCCAGTGAGTGGTAAAGGTCAAGGCCCTCTCCCCCAATTTTTTATTTATTTATTTATTTTTTTGTGAGGAAGATTGGCCCTGAGCTAACATCTGCCAGTACTCCTCTTTTTGCTGAGGAAGACTGGCCCTGGGCTGACATCCATGCCCCACACCAAGCAGTGCGTCAGTACACGCCCAGGATCCGAACCAGTGAACCCCGGGCCGCTGCAGCGGAGCACGCGCACTTAACCGCTTGCGCCACCGGACCGGCCCCCCCCAGTTTTTTTTTGACTGGACATCTTTGCAAGCTGAAAAGGCATAAAGATGTTCTAAAAAGAACTTTATTATTAGGATTGGCACAGTGATTTCCAGGAAGCTACTATGAGGCCAAATAAGGACCGTACCAACACCACTTTGTCTTTCTTTCCCCCTAGGAGTATGAGGTTCTCTTTTTAACATCATTTCCAGTAATTCTCCTGAAACAGAACTGCCACATCCTGAAACTAAGCCTGATATTTCCTAGTTCTGAGGAGACAAAGTTTGAGTCCTTTAAAAGCAGTCTCCCAATTAAGTTCTGCCTCCAGGCAGGCTTTGGCAGGCCACGGGCCTGGGCACTGTGAAGTGGAGGCAGGAGCGTCATTTCACCCTTCTAACTAAATAAGAGGCAAGTTCCTTCTTGCCCAGGAATTCTGCAGGCAGCCTGAGTTGAGTCTTAGAAGAGTGTGGGCAAGGCAGACGACCTGTAGAGAGATTTTTTTATTTTGTGCCTTGATAATTTTTTACATGGAAACTTTCTATTGGCTTTTTTTTGAGATGTTTCTCTAATGTTGTTATTTGATTTGATTTCTGGCTTAATTTTTGTCTCCCAACCTTTTTTTTTCTTTTCATTTACTATGAGGGGTTCCATGACTTTGAGGTTCTGAGCTGCTGTTGATGTGTGCTGTACCTCCTTCAATTCTCAGCTCTCTAAGGGGAAGACTGCTGCAGAGGATCGGAAATGCTCCACTGCCACTCCCGGGAACACTCACAGGAAAATTAGTGAGTGCCCCTTTTGGTATATTCACAAGTTTTGAGTCAGGCAGCTATAATACAGCCAGAGGGACAGTCTGTGGATATGTCTTAAGAGCATTTCTCAAAAGTTGTCCCAAATTAATCTGATGCCATTTTTACCTTGCCTCTGGGAATTCTCAAAAGTTTCCATATTGATGTTGGGCTTTTAAGGGAAGGATAGTTACAAAAAGTACAAAACCGCCAGTTCATTTTTTTATATATTAGCAAATTAATATTTCACATTTGGAATGGGATACTTCTCATTTCCAGACTTCAGAATTGGTAGCAAATATCTTTATTTCACAGAGAGGAAAACAGAAAGATCAACTCATTGCCAAAGTCAGTTATTAGATCTAGGGACAGAGTTTACCACTCTGACTCTTGAAACATGGTCATCAAATATTGACTAACCTACTAGAATATTCTGTGCTCTCTGGGGAAATGAAATGTACATTGCATGGGTCTTCCCTCTAAGAATTTGTAGTCTAGGATAGATGTCAGGAAAAATAACTTGTGAAAAGTTTACTACCAAGAAAGAAGAGATTTGGTGAAAGACTTATGGGAAATCACGGCTAACTGGGTGGCTGTGGAGGAGGGCATGTCAGATAGATAGGATGGCTTGAGTAAGACACAGCCTGACACAGGGCAGCTGTGGAAAGAAGCCTTAAAGAGTAGGTAGGTTAAGCCATGTTGTTGAAGGCCTTGGAGGTGAAACTGCTTTATCCTGTGGATAATGAAGCCTCATCAGAGGTTTTTAAAAGAAAGACGTCAGTAAAATGAAGTGAGGCTAGACCACTTGAAGCATGTGCCCATGGCCATAATTGCTTTTTGGATTTACTCCAGATTCTCTGTGGAAGTAGATATCCCAGTCACATTCTACATCCCATTTGGAAATCTTAAATATTCAGGGAATCCTTTAAGAAAGCTGCTGTGTTCTTAGTTGAGACAGTGTCTAACTAACAGCGATGGTAAATGCATTAGTAGAACAATTTTTAAAAGATTTGTAAACTCTTTAAAGAGTAGCAAATTCTGTATCCTGTCACATAATGCATTTAAAACAAAAAGTCATGCGTCGCTTAACGACGGAGATACATTCTGAGAAAGGCATCGTTAGGCAGTTTCATCGTTGTATGAACATCATAGAGTGTACTTACACCAACCTAGATGGTATAGCCTACTACACACCTAGGCTACATTGTACTAGTCTTATGGGACCACCGTCATATATGTGGTTCGTCATTGACGTAAGTGTCGTTTTGTGGCACATGACTATAAATAAAATGAATTCCTAAGAGCAGCTGTTTTATAATGTAGTAGCAGTTATATCAGCTTCTTATCCTTCAATTTTGGATCATGCAGAAAATAAAAATAACCTAAGCATTTATGTGGCACAGTCCTCTAGACACTACAAATGTTAACTCTATGAATAAGAATTTGTTCCAGAAGTATTAAAAGGCCTTTGAGATATTACATTTTACAATGACCCTCTAAATATATCTGGGTAGCATGGTACTCAGTTATGAAACAGAAAAACTAGATTACCTACATAATGAACAACATCTTAGTTTCCTACTGCCTAGTTTATTTCCTGGTTCATTTCATGTACTGATTGAGTGATTTATTTTTTCTGTTCTGTTTTTAGGGTCTTAATGTTAGTTTCAATAGATAGATGCGCTCTCTACTGACCCTTATTGAGAAAACTACTTCTGGGAGTCAGGGTTACACCACTTCGCCCCAGGTCACTGGGGCCGAAAACCTTGGGCAAGGAGGTCTCAGCCCTAGTTCAAGACTTCCTCTATTGCAGGAGTCTAATATTTAAACTATCTTCGAGATGTTTTCAACCCTTAGGTGCAAGTGAAATATTGCTCCTTTTAGGGTCTTCACTCCTTTTCTGAAGTACCTTATAGGTTTAGTACTTTACCCTTAGGCATCATTTGGATTAGAAAGGGTATCTAATTCTAGGGTATCTTCTTTATTTCTGCTTGGGTGACTGTGTAGGGGTGTGTTTTTCGCTCCTAGGTATTTTCTTAGCTGGTTCTGCTGTATTTCTGTGTGTAAGAGAGAGTGATTTGTTCATCAGTGCTAAACATGTTTCCTTTAGACTCAGTGCCCATGGTGTCCTGATTGGATTAGCGGGAGAGACTCCATCGTTTCTCTGAGTTTCAGGACTACCCTGGATTATTGTAGATAATGTTTCAGAAAAGAGTTTAGGGAGTTGTGTATGATGGTTCTTAGATTGATGCTTATTTTTCAGCCAATTTTGAGCTTGTTCAACTGCAAGAAAAACTGAAAGAAACAGAGGAAGCCATGGAAAAATTAATCAACAGAGTGGGACCTAATGGTGAAAGGTAGGTTTTCACATAATAGGACTCAGGCTATTTCCCATTTAGAGAATCAATTCAAAATTTTGCATTTCTTTGATTTCTGGGCCACTTTTATTTTATATAGTTGTCAACTTATTTGTTATTTACATATTATTTCTCATTTAACGTTTCCATTTTCATACTATCAAGCAATCTCAGTTTACAAGTATATATGTTCTGTGTTGTGCACATTATTGTGAGCGAGCAAATCTGTGAGCAAATCCTGCAGGGTGAAATAACTGGGTTTTAAGGAAGACAATTTCCTAGCTGTCTAAAAAGGCATAATTTTAAGTAGAACCAGATTATTAAATATTATGCTCTTCATTTGAGACAAAATGAGAGAAGAGAGCAAGTCTGATCAGCTTAGGCATTTGTGTGCTGTGTTGACTGTGCAAGAACAGAATTAGAGATGTTAGATAGGTGTCAGGAGCCAAACTAGCCCTTTAGGATGCCCCACAGGCAAGACTCACTCTTCTTGCTACGGGGATGGCCACAGATCTGAAGAGGTAGGTGGTTCATGGAAGTGGGCAACAGCTAAGAAAACACGCGTGTAGAAAAGCCAGGGAGGAAAAACCGGAATGTGAGATTGAGAACAAAGACAGATTCAGTTTGAGCTAGGCCTTCTGACAAGAATGGAGGAAGAACTGGAGGTGGATAACAAAATCCCATGCAGGAGGATGTGTTGAACGGTCCCTCGTATAGCTCCTTGGGCTCATTGTGGAGTCTTTGCCCAGAAAACTGCTGCTCCACCTTGGCCTCTTCTCTTTGCCATTCTTGGTGGTACTAGTGCCGTGCCCCTTTCTCTGCTTCCTGGCCGCAGCCTTGCCCATCTTTGGCTGGATAAGAGAAGAGTGAACATCTTCAGATTGCAGCCGCTTTACTTGGCTTTTCCCTGCAATATCTACAGTGCTGCTGAAAAGGCATTTATGAGGATGAACCTTGCCTATCTGGGCCCAGGAGCCTTGACCTTCTTTTGGTCCAGAAAGCAGAGTGACTACCTTGACTCTTCTCCAAAGTGGCAAGATATATGTGTGTATCTATACATGAGTATATCTTTGTAAGTGTATAATAATATTTGATATTTAATGAATACTTACTAAGGACCAAGCTCTGAGCTAAATGCTTTATGTACATTATCTAATGTATGAATATTTGTATGAGTGTGGCTAAACCATGTTGTGGCCTTTTCTGGCCCTACCCTGTACCACTCACAGTCTGGATAGGGAACAACCGGCATTTATAGACTCTCATGCCTCAAAAACTGTCTGTACCCTGGCTGTGGTCCGTTCAAAGCCCCAGGCCACACCTAAGGGTCATGAAAACCATAGATGAATACCTGTGGGCAGGGCCTCACACCTGGGAGACCCAACCCCTGGGCCTTGGAGTAAGAAACCACATGAAAATATTTTTTCACTATTACTCACTGCTATTCAGACTCCCTTAGCTCAAATCAAATAACCCCACCATCTAACCCATGCATACCATCTGTCCATTGTCTAAGCTAGAGACGCAGTACTATAACCTCTAACTACTGTCTGTCCTTTTTGTGCCGGGATTACTTCTCCATGTTTTATGTGCAGAGGCAGAGTTGTTGTCCCCACCCTGCAGCTGGAGTTCTGCTATCCCGTTGTTTCTGGGGCTACCGGTCCTAGCTCAGAACGTTGATCCTTATAAGATGCTGAGGTGTGGACTCATTGAGAACATATTGATTCCAGCCTGCCACATGGCAATGACTGTGTAAAACATTTTCCACAGAATCTCTCAGGAACTGGGGAGCAGCTCCCCATCCACTGAAGAAAGCATAGCTTGTGGCTGTCTTTCCTACATCTCTGTTTCCAGTCCATAGAGATGTGACTTTCTGACACTCTTCAATCTAACACTTTTTATCCTCACACTAGGCCCTGTGAGACTTCAACCCTCAAAACTGCAAGGGCTAGTAGCCCATGTTTTCCATTGTTTCCTTTTTATCCTTATATCCTTTCACCTCAGTTGCTGTGGCATTTGTTCTTCTACAAGTCTGTGCTTCTATGATTATTAGAAGAGCCCAAAATACCCTAGTATTTCTTCTGTCAGATCAAGATTTTATCACATCCCCAGGCTTCTGGGGGTCAAGGAGAGGATTTAAGACAAAGACGACGTGTTTACCTACAGCTTCTAAATCCTTTTTATATAATCACTCCATAACTAAGAAGTTTTGTTTAAAATTTTGGAAATATGCAGTTTCTGAAACTTCATCTTAATGCTTATGTAAGAATCAAAATATGGGAAAGGTTTTTAATATTATCTAATAACACTTTTCAGACAGTTTTCACCTGTGAGTGATATATGTCTGTACATGTGTTTAAATAATGAAGCCTCCTGGAAGGTTAATTTTGTGCCATGTTACATTTGCTATTAAGCACAATATCCAGCCCAAGGACACAAAGTCTAAGGAAAGGATCTAGGAATCAGAATCGCGGTGTCATCATTTCTGCCCTCATAATCAGCAAAATTTCCTTTCTAGCATGTAATGATTCACCTCCTAGAAACATGGCATGGCCTGAGGGGAGAAGTGAGGGTGCACCTCTGGCAGCAGACAGCCCTGGCAGGCATGTTGCTTATGTGTGTAGGGCGGTATTCTAGCATGCAGTGCTGGAATATAAACTCTTTGAGGACAGGCTTAGTCTGTTTGGTTCATTGTGTTTTCACATAGTAGGTACTACATAAATACTTATTGAAAGATATAGATGTTCACTTTTGATACAAGCATTTCTACATACATTATCATGGTAGAAGATTAAGTCATGGCCATTCCCAGTTGAGATCCTTGTCTTCATTTCCTGATCTCTATATTCAGGGTCCTACTAGACATATCTCATAGATACCTACCTTTATCCTCATCAAGCAATAAATGTCTCTTGCACAAATGAATGTCCAAAATGAAACTTATCATCTACCCTCAGCTGAACCTACTCTACCTTTACTATTCCCCATCTCAGCAAATGGCTCTGCCATCTCCTTAGTTGCCCAAAGCAGAAATTAGATGTCATTCTTGATTCACCTTTTCCTTCACTTAACCATATCTCATCAATTACCGTGTCTTGTCATTTCTTCCTAATTAATGAGTCTCCCTGCAAGAGACTCTAGGCTGTACTAGGGCAGGGATTTTCCTTCTTATTCCCAGAGCCTAGCACAGGCCAATAGTAGGCTCTAAAAAAGTATTAGTTGAAATGGAAGAATGAATGAATGAATGCCTTCACTTATGACATGGGTCAGAACTGTCTCATGTGGTTTCTTTTTCTCTAATTTTGCCTTCCTTCAATTCGCTTTCTGCTTTCCATGGGTTATGTCTTTTTTATTTTTGTGAGGAGGACCAGCCCTGAGCTAACATTCAATGCCAATCCTCCTCTTTTTTGCTGAGGAAGACTGGCCCTGGGCTAACCTCCGTGCCCATCTTCCTCTACTTTATATGGGACGCCACCACAGCATGGCTTAACAAGCAGTGTGTCGGTGCACACCCGGGATCCGAACCGGCGAACCCCGGGCCGCTGCAGCGGAGCGTGCGCACTTAACTGCTTGCGCCACTGGGCCGGCCCCTTTTTTTTTCTTTTTTTACGAGGAAGATCAGCCCTGAGCTAACATCCAATGCCAATCCTCCTCTTTTTTTTTTTTTTTTTTTTGCTGAGGAAGATCGGCCCTGAGCTAACTATCTGTGCCCATTTTCCTCTACTTTATATGGGACACCAAAGCATGGCTTGACAAGTGGTGCATTGGTGCGCGCCCGGGATCTGAACCTACGAACCCTGGGCCACCGAAGCGGAGCGCTTGTGCCACTGGGCTGGCCCTATGTCTTTTGTTTTAACCCTTCAACAGGTCACTGTTGCTCTTGGTAAAGTGCAGAATCTTTAACATGGCTTACATGGTCCTGGGTGTCATGGCCCTGCACACCTCTGTTGCGCCACTCTCTCTCGTCTCTCTCTCTGTGGTCCAGCCACACTGACTACTTGCTGTTCCTCTAAAATACTTGTGCACTTTTGCTTCTAGGACTTTGCATATACTTTTTTCCTTTTCTTGAGTGTCCCTCTGACCCCCACTCCACACACACTTATTTTAACTCTTGCTTGCCTTATAGGTCTCAACCTAGACATCATTTTCTAGACATCATTTCAGAGTCCTTCCCTGAACCCAAAACTTGGTTAGGTGTTCCTCCTGTGTGCTCCCACACCACCTATGTTTGCTGGATATTGTAAGTGTCATATTACTTTCTGATCATTTGTTAACCTTTCTGTCTTTCCTAATGTCTTGTAACCTTCTTGAGGATAGGGAATTTTCATTGTTCAAATTTGTATTCCTAGTGCTGGCACGTTGACAGTGTCAGTTACATGTTGAAAGAATGAATGAGGTAGATCTGAAAAAGTACTTTAAAGCAGGCAGTTTCAGCAGTAATAAAATATCTTCTTTGGTACCTATTTTCATTTACTCTGCTACTCATACAGCAGCCCTGTATGGTTGTCAGTGGCGGTTTATTTTCTCTGTAAGGAACTGCCTCTCAGAGACAAAGTCTGCTCTAGGAACATGTGTTAGTTTTCTATGGCTGCTGTAACAAATTATTACAAACTTAATGCCTTAAAACAACACACATTTATTATCTTACAATTCTGTATGTTACAAGTCCCACAGTGGGCTAAAGTCAAGGTGTTGGCAGGTCTGCATTCCCTTCTGGAGGCTTGGGGGCAAAATCCAGTTCCTTGCCTTTTTAAGATTGTAGAAGCTGCCCACATTCCTTGGCTCATGGACCCTTTCCTCCATTTTCAAAGCCAGCAACAGTGGGTTGAGACCTCCTCACATCGTATCACTCTGACCTTTTCTGTCCCCCTCTTCTCCTTTTAAGGACTCTAAATTACATTGTGTCCTCCCAGGTAATCCAGGATAATCTCTATTTTAAGGCCAGCCGATTTGCAACCTTACTTCCATCTGCGACGTTAAGTCCCCTTACATATAGGGTAATATCATTATAGGTTCCAAGGATTAGGATGTGGACATCTTTGAGGGATGGGGAGACATTATTCTGCCTACCACAGAAGGTCTTATGGAAAAGGGGGAATTTGAATAAGCCTTGCAGGATGGAAGGATTTCGTCAGGTAGATTTTGGGGAAAAAATGTTTCAGAGGGAGAGGGTGGCACAAGCAGCAAACAAGGTAAGAGAGTCAAGGCATGTTTTTGGAACAGCGTGTAGTCCAGGTAACTGGAGTGGAGTACAGCAGGGCTGGGGTAAATGGTTGGGGAGCTAAGTATGGGAGAAAAACTAGAAAAGTAAACTGAGGCCAGACTAGAAGCCCCTGAATGGTAGGCTGAGAAGTTTAGAATTCATTGTCTTTATAGTGAGGTGCCTCCGAAGGCTTTTAAGGAGAAATGTCATGGTCTTCTGTGCTTTAATGTTATACAGAGCGGCTACATGCTAGAAAGTTATTGAACAAGTTCTAGCAAAAGGTAGTAAATAGGCCAGTGAGTGCAAAAGGGAGGCCAAATTAAGGGGACTTCATGGAGGAAAGAAAATCACAGGCTATATCAGGATTCCTTGGTTGCAAGCAGCTAACTCTGGATATCAAAAATTAGGAGAGGGCGACAGAATTTATTGGAACAGTGTGGGGTAGTTCACAATATCAGGGACTAGCTAAAGATCCCGGTTTCAGGAAGAGTGGGAACCCGAGCAGCTCTGGGGATTTAAGGAGCAGGAACAAATGGACAGTCTCTTCAAGGACTGCTGCCAGCATGAATTGATGTGAAGAGTTTTCAGATCAGCCTTCACTGTGTTCAAGATCCAGTTTTAGGAGAAAGTACACTTGGCCTGACTTGGGTCCTATATATATCACTGATTCGATCACTGCAGCCAAGGAGGTGGAGTGTAATGATTGGCCATGAGCCACGCGGCCACCCATGAAGGAGAGGTGAAGGGATGGATGGCTTCCTCCTACCCTTTGCACTGTGAGCAGAAGAGGGGTTGGTTCCCCAAAGGAAAATGACTAACTAGATAAGAACAACGAAGGAGAAGAAGGAGATAAAGATGAGTTGGAGATTCACCTACAGCCCAAACTGGAAGGAAAATTACGGCATCAACCACGATAAAACCATGAAAGAGGAGAAAGAAGATAAGGCTTGGGATAGGGATCATGAGTTCAGCTTTGAATATGGTTGAGGTGCCATCAGACCATCCATGTATAGAAAATTTGGGTATTGAGGTCAGAACAAAGAACGCAGGTTTGGAAGTCATTTGGCTGGGGGTAAGAGGTCAGGGCTGTGGGGAAAGATGAGATCACCAAATCCTTGAGGCATATCATGCTGTGTGGCAGTAGTCTGCAGTCTTCCGCTAATCTAAATTCGGTTCTAACTATGAATATTTCATTCTCTCTGTGCTTAACTCTTGGATTCAGAACTTGATTATTCCTCTGGGTTTATAGCATTCAAAAATCTGGTGAGGTTATCTCCCAACTTGACCTTTTATTTTTTTGGCATCTTGGAATCTGCCATACCCAACCTCTCCTAGCCTGCCTGTTCATGCTCATGATCCTGGGCCCAACCAGGACCTGGTTTTGAAGGGTGAATTTAAGGTTAATTCGAATGTAGTGGCAAGGCCTCCAGGTGGAAATGCCCTGGAGATAACTGGAGTTATGAGACTGGCTTTTGTGTGACAAGTCAAAATTAGAGGTAGAGTTTGGGCATCATCTGTGTAGAGGTGATGGTTTTATCTGTGATACTGAGTCAGCTTCCTGAGGGTGTGATTGTGAGAATGGAGCAATGCAAGTCCTGGGATTGAGCCTTCAGGAAAACCATGTTTTAGGAGGTGGGAGGAGGGAAGTGAGCCAGGATTAGAGATACAAGGAATGGTTAAAGAAGTGGAAGGAATACAAATGTCTCAGTAGCCAAGGGAGGAGGACCTTTCAAGGAGAGGATGGTCCACCGTACAGAGAATTCAAGAAAAATGAAATATGAGAAGAAGACTTTTGGACTTGAGAGTAAAGTGGTCATTGATGATTTTCAGAAGTTTTGGTAAAATGATGGAATGGAAACCAGATTTCAGGGACGTGGGAGAGAATGGTTGGAGAGGAAATGGTGACCAATCAAGCTAACACATATTTATTGAGCTTACAGTGTTCATGGTACTGTGCCTATATAGTCGTGAACTTATTACTGCCCTCCAGGAGATCAAACCAAGTTGAGACAATAAGGAATCCATGAAAAAAATGTTCATTGTGATAAATTCAGAAGTTATCATAAGGTGGGCCGTGATTAATTGCCTAATGCATGATATGGATGATATGAGTACACTTGTTCAGAGATAAAAGAGGATGCTTTAGTTTGGATTCTCGGAGAAAGCTTCCCTCGTCTGTTTCTGCTTCTCTTATCCTAGCCATCCCTCTTTTTAATTAAGGTTCTGATTTTCCATGGGTTAAGAAGCAGAATCAAGACAGTTTCATTCAGTAAAAATCAGAATATACTGAGTACAGTCCAGGGAAGTCACATGTGCAACCAGAGGGCAAGAGCTTTGTCATAAGCACATAGGCTATTCTAGCTGGGGTGACCTCGCTGGCTGAGAAGCCTCCCACAAAGTGAGTTGTTGTCATAGGAAGAAGCTGGGGGTTATGGAGAGCAGATGAGCGGTTGTGAGTCAGGACTCTTCTGATGGGAAGAATAGAGCTAGCTGTAAGAGGCCCGATAAATGTGAGATTTTAGCTGAGTGTGCAGTGGACAGGCTTGTGCAATGGACAGGCTTCTTCAGTTCATGGCTTTGAGGCCATTTAGTGTGGAAGAAGTGGGTGGAGCTCCTGGTGGTTTTGTTTTCCTCCCACTGAGGTCTGTGGGAATGTTGCACCTTCATTTTCCTCAGTTACCATCTTAATGTTGAAGAGAGAAACACTTTTTTCTTTTTCCCTATTAGTCATTAAGGCTAAAGTTTGTTAGGCTAAGCATAAAAAGGAACGCAGGCTCAGGACTGGCTGATTAGAAAAATCGATGACACCTCCATGAGGCTGGTACAGAACATATCATTTTTCCTTCATGAGTGTTATATTGGCTTGGAGTGCTTTGGGTTTTTAAGAGGAGAATAAGTAGGCTCTATTAAATCTTGCCAATAGATAAAATTGGTCCCAAAGCAGATAATTTGCCCAGAGCCACCTAGCTAAGTTAGACTCAAACCCAGGTGTTCTAAACTGGAACTTGAGCACCGTGCTTTAAGAATTGCACAGGGCCGGCCCCGTGGCTCAGTGGTTAAGTGCGCGTGCTCCGCTGCTGGTGGCCTGGGTTCGGATCCCAGGCGCACACGGACGCACCGCTTCTCCGGCCATGCTGAGGCCGCGTCCCACATACAGCAACTAGAAGGATGTGCAGCTATGACATACAACAATCTGCTGGGGCTTTGGGGGGAAAAATAAATAAATAAATAAAATCTTTAAAAAAAAAAGAATTGCACAGAATGCTATCAGAAGCCAGGATACTTTAGTTTTAAAGTGCTGACATTAACTAGGAATAGGAATAAATGTATAATTTCCCTCTGTGGGCCTCAGTTTCCCCAGTTTCTCTGGTCTAGATGATTGATTTTTCAGAATGATCCAGCTCTGAAATTTTAGGATACATCTTTGTTTCTGCACAAGTAGATGCAGACTGGTGATTCTAGGGTTGGCCTAGGAGCATATTTTTCCCTAATTGAGGCTAATCGCCCAGCACATTTTCTTTTGATGACCTCGCTTCAGAGAAAAGTGGCTTGTAGTAAATGGAGTAGTACAGTAATGGTGAAATCGTTTCGAGATTGGAGAATCAGGGCAGGGAGGGATACTGAACGAACACTGACCTGGAAGCTGAGACGCCTGGGGTCTGGTCGCAGTAATGACATTGATTCACTGGGGACCTTGGGCAATCACGTAATCTATTCTGGGCCTTAGTTTTCCCATTCATAAAGTCAAAACATGAACTAACATGTCTGGTTACCAGCTGTGCAGTTCTGGGATCAGTTCCTAAAATAAGTAATCTGCTACTGTTAGACTTCCTATTCTAGGATCCAGACAGATCATAGTGATGTTTATGTTCATTGCCTAGAAGTATTTACCACTAAATGGCTGGATTGATATTTCTGAGCAGAGCACAGACTGTGACTTCTGACCAAGAAAAGCGGTTGCTGCATCAGCTCCGAGAAATCACCAGGGTCATGAAAGAAGGAAAATTCATTGACAGACCCACTCCAGAGAAAGAAGCTGAGGAGGCCCCTTATATGGAGGACTGGGAAGGTAAATAGTCTTCTCATTTCTTTGTTAGGTGTCAGCCCAGAAAAGAGATCTTACAAACGGTTGAAAAATCAGCTTTGTTACTAAAGTATATATACAATAAAATTCACCAATTTTAAGTATATGGTTGTATGAGTTTTGACTAATGTGTAGAGTTGTGTAATTATACCACAATCATGATATAGAACATTTTTATCATCTTGGACAAAGTTCCCTCCCGTGTTGCAGCTAATCCTCTCCTGGTAACAACTGAACTGCCTTCTGTCCCTATAGTTTACCCTTTCTGTATAAATGGATCCTACTGCACATGCTCTTTTGTTTCTGGTTTCTTTGTTTTAGCATAATGCTTTTGAGATTTATGTGTGGAGTGTATCAGTAGTTCTTTTTTTTTTTATTGCTGAGTATTTTTTTGTAAATTTTTATTCAATTTATTTAAACTGAAAAAAAAAAACAGTTCACCCATTTCTCCTACTCCCCACCACCCCTGTCTCTTGAAACCACCAATCTGTTCTTTGTATGTATGAGCTTGGTTTTTTTTGTTTGTTTTTAGATTTCACGTGTAAGAGGGATCATAAGGTATTTGTCTTTCTCTGTCTGACATTTCACCTAGCGTAATGCCCTTGAGGTCCACCCATGTTGTCCCAAATGGCAAGATTTCATTCTTTTCTGTAGCTGAATAATATTCCATTGTGTGCGTGCATGTGTGTGTGTGTGTGTGTGTGTATGTATATCACATTTTCTTTATCCATTCATCCACCGGTGGACACTTAGGTTGGTTCCATATCTTGGCTATTGTAAAAAATGCTGCAATTAACATATTGGTGCATATATCTTTTCAAATTAGTGTTTTTGTTTTCTTCAGGTAAATACCTAGAAGTGGAATTACTGGATCATATGGTAGTTCTATAATTTTTTGAGGAACCTCCATACAGTTTTCCATAGTGTTGGCACTGATCCGCATTCCCATCAACAGTGCACAAGGGTTCTCTTTTCTCTACAGTCGCGCCAACACTTATTTCTTTTCTTTTTGATAATAGCCATTCTGACAGGTGTGAGGTGATATCTCATGTGGTTTTGATTTGCATTTTCCTGAAGATTAATGGTGTTGAGTGATTTTTCATGTACCTATTGGCCATTTTCTTTGGAAAAATGTCTATTCAGATCTTCTGCCCTTTTTTTTTTTTTGTGAGGAAGATCAGCCCTGAGCTAACATACGTGCTAATCCTCCTCTTTTTGCTGAGGAAGATCGGCTCTGAGCTAACATCTATCGCCAATCCCCCTCCTTTTTTTTTTCCCCAAAGCCCCAGTAGATAGTTGTATGTCATAGTTTCACATCCTTCTAGTTGCTCTATGTGGGACGCAGCCTCAGCATGGCCGGAGAAGCGGTGTGTTGGTGCGCGCCTGGGATCCGAACCCCGGGCTGCCAGTAGCGGAGTGCGCGCACTTAACCACTAAGCCACAGGGCCAGCCTGTGCCCATTTTTTAATTAGATTTTTTTTTGGCTGTTGAGTTGTATGAGTTCTTTATATATTTTGGATATTAGCCCCTTATCAGATATATGATTTTGAATTATTTTCTCCCATGTAGTACATTGCTTTTTCATTTTGCCGATGGTTTCCTATGCAGAAGCTTTGTTTCATGTAGTCCCACTTGTTTATTTTTGCTTTTGTTTCTTTTGCTTTTGGTGTTAGATTCAAAACATCATCGCCAAGATCTATATCAAGGAGCTTACTGCTTATGTTTTCTTCTAGGAGTTTTATTGTTTCAATTCTTACATTCAAGTCTTTAATCCATTTTGAATCAATTTTTGTGTATGGTATAAGATAGTGGTCCAATTTCATTGTTTTGCATGTGGCTGTCCAGTTTTCCCAACACCATTTATTGAAGAGACTGTTCTTTCCTCATTGTATGTTCTTGGCACCTTGGTCATAAATTAATTGATCATATTTGTGTAGGTTTATTTATATGTGTAGATTTCATATATGTGTAGGTTTATTTCTGGGCTTTGTATTTTGTTCTGTTGATCTATATGCCTGTTTTTTTGCCAATACCATACTGTTTTAATTACTGTAGCTTTGTAATATAGTTTGAAATCAGGGAGCATGATGCCTCCAGCTTTGTTCTTCTTTCTCAAGATTGCTTTGGCTATTTGGTGTCTTTTGTGGTTCCATACAAATTTTAGGATTGTTCTATTTCTGTGAAAAATTCCATTGGAATTTTGATAGGAATTTCATTGAATATGTATGTATATTGCTTTGGGTAGTATGGACATTTTAACAATATTAATTATTCCAATCCATGAGCATGGAATATCTTCCCATTTATTTGTGTCTTCTTTAATTTCTTTCGTTAATGTCTTATAGTTTCAAGATATAGATCTTTCACCTCCTTGTTCAAATTTATTCCTAGGTATTTTATTCTTTTTGATGCAATTATAAATGGGAGTGTTTTCTTAATTTCTCTTTCTGATAGTTATTAGTGTAAAGAAACACAACAGATTTTGGAGTATTGATTTTGTATCCTGCAACTTTACTGAATTTGTTTATTCTAACAGTTTTCTGATAGAGACTTTAGGGTTTTCTATATATAGTATCATGTCATCTGCAAACAGTGACAGTTTTACTTTTTCCTTTCCATTTTGGACGCCTTTTATTTCTTTTTCTTGCCTAATTGCTCTGGCTAAGACTTCCAATACTGTGTTGAATTAAAGGGGTGAGAGTGTACATCCTTGTTGCTGATCTTAGAGGAAAAGCTTTTAGCTTTTCACTGATGAGTATGATATTAGCTGTGGGCTTGTCATATATGGCTTTTGTTGTGTTGAGGTATGTTCCCTCTATATCCACTTGTTCAGAGTTTTTATCGTAAATAGATGTTGAATTTTGTCAAATTCTTTTTATGTATCTGTTGAGATGATCATATGATTTTTATCCTTCATTTTGTTAATGTGTTGTATCTGTCACATTGACTGATGTGCAGATTTCAAACTATTCTTGCATCCCTGGAATAAATCCCACTTGATCCTAGTGTATGATCCTTTTAATGTATTGTTGAATTCAGTTTGCTAATATTTTGTTGAGGATTTTTGCATCTGTGTTCATTAGGGTTATTGGCCTGTAATTTTTTTGTGTGTGTGGCATCCTTGTCTGGTTTTGGTATCAGGGTAATGCTGGCCTTGTAAAATGTGATTGGAAGAGATCTCCCTCTTCTGTTTTTTGGAGGAGTTTGAGAAGGATTGGTATTAATTCCTCTTTGAATGTTTGGTAGAATTCACCAGTGAACCTGTCTGGTCCTGGACTTCTGTTTCTTAGAATGTTTTTTATTACTGATTCAATCTCCTTGCTAGTAATAGGTCTGTTCAGATTTTCTATTTCATCCTGATTCAGTCTTGGTAGGTTGTACGCTTCTAGGGATTTAATCCATTCTTTTTCTGGTTTCTCAAGGTGGAAGCTTAGATCCCTAATCTGTTTTTTGGCCATTATTTCATTAATGACCTTTCTGTCTCCCTATTTCTCTTTCCCCTCCTTCTGGTTCTCCATTTGCACATGGGTTATACCTTTGATATTGCCCCACAGGTCATGTATGGTCTGTTCTTTCTTTTCAGTCTCTTTCATGCCATACTTAATTTTGGATAATTTTTCTTGCTATGTCTTCAAGTTTATTGATCTTTTCTTCTGCAGTATATAATCTGCTCTTATTCTCATTCAATGTATTTTTAATTTCAGATATTGTCATCTGTAGAAGTTCCATTTGGGTCTTTTTATATCTTTCATATATTCTTCTACCTTCTTAAAAGGATGAGATGCATTTATAACAGCTTCTTAACAGTCTTGGCTGCTGATCTTATCATTTGTGCCATTTCTGGGTTTGTTTCTAGTGATTAATGTTTGTTGTTAGCGCCATTGAGTCAATTTTGACTCCTAGCATCCATGTGTACAGCAGAGCAGAAGCCTGCCTGGTGTTTTTGTACCATCCTCTTACCTTCTGGCGCTGTATCAGACAGTGCTCTGCTGCTATTCATAGGGTTTTCACGGCCAATGTTTTTGGAAGTGGGTGGCCTGGTCCTTCCTCCTAGTCTGTCGTAGTCTAGAAGCTCCACTAAAACCTGTCCATCATGGGTGACCTGGCTGGTATTTGAAATAGCTCTCAGCATCACAGCAGCATGTGGCAACCACGTATGACTACCAACAGACAGGTGATGTGGTTCCCTGACCAGGAAACAAACTCAGTTCGTGGCAGTGAGAGTGTCGAATCTTAACCACTAGACCACCACCAGGATCTGGTCTAGTGGTCTAGTGATTCTCCTTGTTACAGGTCCTAATTTCCTCACCTTTTTGCATGCCTGGTAAATTTTGATTGGATGGTAGATATTGCAAATTTTACATTGTTGGATACTGAATTTTGTTTTGTACTTTAACTAGTGTTGGACTTCTTTCTGATGCACAGTTAAGTTACCAGAAATGAGTTGGATCCCTTTGAGGCTTGTTTTTAAGATTTGTTAGGGTGGGTCCAGAGCAGCTTTTACTCTGTGGCTAATTTAGCCCCACTAGTAAGGCAGTACCCTTCTCAGGACTCTACCTGATGCTCCACAAGGTCTTTCCACTCTGGCTAGTAGGAACATGAACTATTCCCAGCTATCTGTGAGCTCCAGAAATTTTTAGGCCTAATGCTTTCAGTGGTTCTTTTCCTGACCTTGGGTAGTTCTTTCCCATAAATGCACAGATCAGAACTCAGGTAAAAACATGAAGAGTTCCCTCTGAAGATCTCTGGAGCTCTTTCTCTATGAAGCTCTTTTCTTTCCAGTATTCTTCCCCGTAAATTCCAGCTGCCCCGGCCTCCCTGAACTCTACTCTGTCTTCCCAACTCAGTGAGACCACTGGGCTCTGTTTCCCTTTTCTCAGGATCATGCTACACTACCTATTATGTAAGGTTTGAAAATTGGTGCTTCTTATGTTTCTTTTGCTTTTCTAGTTGTTTAATCAGAGGAGTCTCCATGCTTCCATTAT